GATTCCGTTTATTGCTATTACAATTTTTATATGCTTCATAACTTATTTATGTTATCAAAAATGGCACAACACAAGGATATTACCTGAATAAAAAGTTGTAAAAACTTCAAAGAACACTTATTGAACAACACTGAGAAGTTATTTAATAATTTACTGTAATGATGTTGAAATACCAGGAATATTAAATATTTATTTTGAAGAAAAAAATCTGTTATTTAAATCTGTATACCAAAATTTTGTCTAAAAAGAAAATGTTTGTAAAACTTTCAGAAAAACTCCTCCTTCGAAATATGAAAGTTAATAACAATTTATCTACAAATATCTGTTTAAAATCACCAGTTTTGAATGCTAATTTTATTTAATATTGAAAATTTCAATTGGTATAATTGCACAGCTTTAAAAAAAATTGAAAAAACTTCTTAGAGAGGATACTTTAGTAAAAATTGTTTTTTTCCTCTACAGTAACTAGTTACACAATTATTCCTTTACGTTTTTTGTGTGTCGTAACTTTTTAAATTCAGAATAGTTGAATGTTGAGATTATAAATTTTGGTTGTAAAACTTAAAATTTTTGCAAATTTTTATTGGACTACTGGAAATAAATAAGAATCAGAAATTTTCAGAATGGAGCTAATTTTTGCAGTGGAAAAAGTCCATATCTCATGAAAAAAACTTTTTTTTCAGGTTCAGTATTGTATTATACAGTTCATACAAGTTGTCCAAATGAAAAGTAGAAATGTGTAGTATCATTACTAGTATAGCAACAATAGCAGGGTTGATAAAAGTAATAAATGTTATTTATCAAGAGTTTTCTTGAAAGGTGGCCAGCGATGTCAGTGTTTCTTCTCTTTCTTCGATATTGGTTTAATTTTTTTCAAAATCAACTTTCTTATAGTGGAGTCTCACAGGGTACAGTTTTAGGACTACTAGTGTTCAATATACAATTAATTATTTTTCATGTATTGAAATTAAAGGTAATATTCACTGTTTTGCAGATTATACTAATATTATTATCAAAGCACCAACTTTGCAAGGGAATAGCAGATAAATATGGAAAAAAACAGGTTTGATGATGATTTATAGTAAATAAAACGAATAGCTAATTTTAGGACTTGAAAGTATATCAACTATCTGCTAATAAATTTGAAATATTTACTGCAAAAATTTAAAGTTGAAAAAAATGCAGCTGTAGATATTTTTGAAATTTTGGTAATAGAAAATGATGAATACATTTTAATAATTTAGTACCTTACCTCAAGTTGAACGCCTTATGTTTATTTACGTTTATATAAACTTGACCTTCTGCATATATGCATATTCTGAATAAACTTTTTATATATTTCAATTACGTCATTATTGCTGCCATAACCATTGTTATTCTGACGTCATAACGTGAGAATCCACTTATCATTTTTGCAACTCATACTTTCAATAAGAACCATTATCACTCTATGGAATTTCCACCATTTTCGAGAAACACCGCTGGTAAGTCAACATTCCGCCGAAACCACCAATTCGAGAGGGTCGACCGCAGCGCCTTGCCCAATCATTTCACATGATAAAAATACAAATAATTTCTAAGTACAAAATGGATTATTTTACATTATTACACTATTAAACACTTCCTTTTCTATATAAATACATGTGATACAATTTAAGAATGATTAACACATATTTTATATATACATATCACTAGCGGAGTGGGGGAGAGAGAGAGATGTGGTGGTGGTCGGTGGTTTACTGTTTTCAGACTCGATCGCGCTCGGCAAACGTACAGGGCGTACCGCGTCTAATGGCGCTGAAGTGGCTGGATTGGAAATGTTATGAACGAAACTATATTACATATAATACAAAACCGGGTATCACTCTTGTCCACTTGCCAAATGCGACCGGGAATCGTATGCCATCGGTGGGATGTGGCGTATTTTTTACACAAACGGACTGTTCCTCACTAGGTAGATTGATAAAATCTATGCGCAAACCAGCGGCCCCGGAGTGGATCCGTAGGGAACGCCAACAATTACTCAGTCCATAATCGGTGAATTTTTCAGTTTCGAATCATACTTCGAAAATTCTAAACACAAACTGAACATAATATTCCAAACAAATAATCAAATAAAGCGTAACTTTGTCGTAAATTATTTCGTACATAATATTGTTTCCAGTGTAAATTTCAAATAAAAACCATTCACTATGTAAAAGAAAAAAGTAACCAAAACTTTACAAACTCAATTAGAAATGAAATTAAAAATAACTCTCAATTTTTGTCCCTTAGTTATGGGAATGAACAAATTTTTATCCATTGAGTTTCGCCAGAAAGTGTAAAAAGTAGCCACGCGTTCGTGTTTGTTCTTACACTATGTAGATCGGTGAAACAACTACTAAATGATACAAATATATGTGGTATATCTAGATATTAGCTCGAAAAACAGTCATAAATGCAATTAAATTATACCATAGAACATTAAATATTAATAATAGTAATGGAATTTGAGAAAACTTTACAATCATCGTTACAAATACATGTTGCAAACGCTTACTAATTGTAAAGGAAACGTGCCATCAAATTCTACTTTATATAATTCCTATCATATTATTAATAAGAGCTCGTTAATTCATCTAGATTACGAGGATTTTTTTAAAGATTTCAAACAGACCATACCTACATTCCCGCCGAATTCGCGTCGTAATTCCGATAGAACACTTCACTATTTACAGAAAAATTATACATTTTTACAACTTACTTTTACAAAATTATATTTACATAACGTCAATTTACAATTTCATAAAATTTTACTTTTTTACAAATTGATCTGAACATGATTCGCTAATAAATATATCTCTGTGAATTTCGTGAAATGAACGTATTTTATACAAACAACTGGGGCGTGAGAGATTCTCTTATTCAAGAAAACGATTCTTGGATTTCAACCAATATCCATTTATTTAATCAATTTACGCAAAGCAAGAGAATCCGCGCCTCCTTCGATGTGGAGTATTCATCGAAATTAAAATCGGAATCCGGTGCAGAATTACGATTTCTAAGAACTTCTCTATAATGATAAAAACCGTCCTAATACCTAAGATAAATGCAGCGTATGTCGCGTGTTTGTGTGTGTATTATGCAATGCATATGGTGACATCAAATTTTAAAAGGGATCTCATAACATTAATATGGAAAATTGAACTTACAAGGAAATTATCTAGCGACTTTTTACATGCGAGTATGTAGTCTATCGTTATCATGAACAAAAAGATGCTAGAATAAGTTGTAATTTAGAGACTAAGAAACTTTTCACTAGTCGGAACTTGGACTTTCTAGATGGACCAACATAAAACAATTAAGAACATGAGAACGACTTTAGAAATTAACCAGATAAAAAATTTTTGATACAAAAAAAGGTTTGAAATATTTATTACAATTTATATTGTATGAAGGTAATAATATTGCTTGTAATTGGTAACTTATGATGTAAAATCATGATCTTTCGCTATGTATAAATGTTTCTAAAAAATATGAATTGGGTTTAAAAAGAGTTTTCAAATTCATTTTTGGCAATTACCATTTGCATTCTGTAATACATCAACGACTTCACAAAGCTTCAAGAATAATTTGGTCACATGCTCTTTTAATAAAAATAATATGGTATGAGGGAATCGATAGTGTGTGTTATTGCCATTTTATGTGAAACCATGATCTCTTGTGAATATATTAAACTTCCTCGAAAACAAGAAAACTTGGGTTTGAGAAAAGTAACAATTCATTTTTAGTGAACGCCATTTGGATTTTAAAATGCACCAACGACTTAGCAAGCATTCTTACTTGTTCAGAATTATAAATTGAAGTTTTATACAGAGGCCGAAAAAAAGACTCTACATTGGAACTACGACTATCAATGGTTGATTTTGCAGTTCATTTCAAATGAATGCTACAAATTTTTGTGTAGTAAAATTATCAAATTAAGTCAGGTTTGGTTTCAAAAAAATTCAACGGGATATGATTTTTCTACTTGTCTAAAATAAGATTCTCATGAGAAGATACAAAGAAATCATGGATACACACTAATTTAAACTTTACACCCTATTGGGAGTTGAAAATTATACTTTCCTTCGAGTGAATGCCAATTGGTGTAGGCTGCCCAAACTACTGGGCACTGTGAAGTGATACCATCATCATTCGTTAGTCAAAAATATTTTGATGAAAAAGTGTAATGGGCACACTTAAAAACAAGTATTAGTCCAAAAACTTACCCGAAAAATGCCTTGGATGATTTCTCATATACTATTATCTGTTTTTTTTTATCAGTTGTGTTTCAATTTTCCATATAAATGATCCATAAATTAGGCAATCAAATAGACTGAGAAAGCTGGTGGTGGATGATGTATATACGTGGCGTGCGGCTCTAGAAAAGTTTCGATTTGGATGATGATGTTCAAGTCTATTTTCCTGAGGACCTTATCACAATTATTAACATACTGTCAGGATGAGAATTGGGGGATACTTAAGAATTTCCAAGTTATCTGCCGGTTGGTCTTTTGTAAGTCGTTAAAAAGTTGTTTATGTACATTTTAGATTTTCATTGGTTTCATCCGTGCGAAATTTAAAATAAAATTTGAGATTCGTTTCTTAAAAATGTTTATACAACCATCTAAGTTTAATGTTAGTTGAGACACATGAATGAACATGCACGTTACTTGACATTGCTTGCCTTTTGTTTTATCCAAATCGCTAACGAAAAATCTATTCATTGTAAGGCTCCTACGCGGAACAACTCAACCACGGCTCTTGTAAAAAAGTGAAAAATTAAACATCCAAAAGGAAAAAAAACACCTGGCCGACAGGTCATAAAACAAAAGCCAATCAACACGATGAAGATAGATGCATAAAGACAAATTACATAAATTACAACTATAATACAGACATTTTATGTATACACGATGATGCTTAACTACGCTAACCTTACAAATTAAAAAAATCATGATAAAAAAATACGGAAAAAATGAACCATAAAAAGGAAAAGGTAAATAAAAATGAAAATACTGGAACCGTACCCACGGTCGGTCGAAATTATAAAATTAACTTAGGCATGATTCAAAGGAAACATCGGAAATTAAAGCACGCCATTAGTGGGGGGACCGATGGGACCGAGCTCCCCTCCGATAGAGCCCAAAGATCCTGGAGCTTTCATGAAGTATTTCTCCAGTTTAGCGATAATGTGCTTTCCGTATGTGTACTTTCTCAGCGAGTTCAGGTGCGGTCTGATCTTGTGCATCAACACCTTACGCTGAGTCGGTTCGCTCACGTCGATCATCTTCTGGACGACGTAGTTGGCGTACTGATCCTTCATCATCACGTGGAGAGCGCTGAAAAAGATTAATTATTTGCACTAACTGAAATATTCCGTAAAGGAAGAAATTATAAACTTATCTTATATCAGCATACTAAAAAGTATACATTTGTTGAGAATATTCAAAATTTTATGCAAACCAGTGCATGAGAAGAGAAGATTGGGCATAATATGATGTAAAGAAATGGGAGGTGACTTACTATCAGTTCAACTGTAATAATCTGTATCAATATAGTTTCCATTGAGAAATTAACATTCATTTTACAGTAATATATAATTACTCTTTATTAGCAAATAATGCTCTTCATAGTACAGTAAGTCACGTATAAAATACAAAACAAAAAAGTATAAAAATAGAGACAAGTCACATTTTAAAAACAAGAAACTAGGAAACAAGACGAATTATTGATGACTATTACTTGAAATATATTCACTACATTTTCTTTTGAATGAATTTAATGAATCACAGCTTTTTATATGACTTGGCAAATTATTAAATGCAATCAGACTAGAACTATACAACGAGTCACAACCTATATGTTCTCTGTTTAAATAAAAATTTCCTATTCTATTTCTAGTGGAGTGTGTATGAATACTACTTGTGTAGGTTAACTGATCACTCAGATAATTTGGCAACATATTGTGTTTAATTTTAAACATAAATATTAGCATATTCAGTGTTATTCTTTGTTTAGCAGACATAAGAGACAGTATTTCCAACATGTATTCCACAGATGTGCGTTTATTACAACTTATATATTGAAGTTTGGCATTTCCACGAATTACCTTCGAGAGCTTTGTTCATTATTTGTATTTGTGGTTTGAGTCTTCAATCGATCTCATAGACTGTGTCTTTGCAGGCTTGTCTTTCAAGGACAAGCCTGATTTGTTGGATAATGCTTAGATTTTTGGGCTCTGGCTTTAATCTACTTATGCTACAAGGAAAAAAAAGTGGTCACGAAACAAGTGATTAATATTTCAAATCCCAAAAAAAATTATTATGAAACTCCTACATACCCCTTAGAATTACTTGTTGAATCGTTCAATTCTGTTGATTGTTAATGAAATAGAACAGATCACACTTACTTATCATTGAATCCGCAAACTTCTTCGATGAGCAACGCCCTTTCTGCTCTTGTAGCGTGGGTGACGCATTTCTCCACCACGTTGCTGGCAAACTTGTGCTGGCTTAATACCAGAACTTTTCCGCGAACGCTGTTGATGAGCTGCGACTTATCCTCCGGTTTTCCGTGTTCTGGAAAAATTGTTAGCGATAACTTTCTCAACAGAAACAAAGAAAGCAGGAAAACCTGAAAACAGGTACATACCAAGAACGTGTTGGATGACGTAGTTTCCGAACTGATCCTGAATAAGCTGATCGGTGTGCTGGTGCAATTCAGCCAGAATGGGAGTCGTCTGGTCAGGCGTGCAATGTTCCAAAATGCGCTGAATGACGCGGCACCCATACGGGTGGGTAGACAACGTGTAAACTTGCCCAGAGAAGGACTGAATGATGAACTGGAAGGAAATATGAATAGTATAGAATCGCTCCGAAAATCTAGAGAAAGACATTGATATTACCTGTAGAGCATTCGGATCGACGCATTCAATACACTTCTGTACGACGTGATTGCCGTTTTGGTCCTTTACGCATTTCAGGACGTGTCCGTCCAATTCTCTCACGATCTCCTGCTGTTGCTCTGGAGGTATGGACTCCAATGCTTTCTGCAAAAGAAACAAACAATAATTTCAACCAAGGTTGAACCGTTGTTGCAGTCTCTAAAATGAATAGAAAAAAGAAAATGGTAAAATCTAAGTACGTAACCAAAGTGAGTGGGTCTAATCGACACTCAACTGCAACCCAAGAGGGTATATTGTGGCTCACACCAATTCAAACCCCGCCAAATTATATAGGAACATAGGCTTTCACAGGCGGAGTCACAAATAAAAAGAACAAAACCCAGGATGATAGGCCGTGGTTAATTGCAACTTGAAGTACCAAACGTTTCGTCTGCTACTGTGGCTGACATCATCAGTGGTATGTGCATTGAATGCGAGGACTGAGGTCGTCTAAGCAACGACCGACTCATATTTATAATTTCAGAAGGTGATGTTGAAGATGGTGGTAGGGGCGATGTTGAGGTGAAAATGATCAATTCCTGATTGGTCCGCATTTTTGCTGGATCGTTCTGATTGGTCTGCACTATTACTAGTTTTTCTGATGGGTCCACGTTATTGACAGGTATACTCCTGACAAGAGTCAGACGATACTGTTCACTCGCAGGTTTGTACAACCGGAAGGCAATGTCACCTTCAACGGACAAGAGATTCCGTGGACCAACAAAGCGACATACTTGGGGGTCATCTTAGACAGGAGGTTAACATTTCAGTCTCATGTACGGCAGAGAATCGGAATGGCTAGACATGCCAGACAACGCCTGGCACCTATCATAGGACTCAGAAGCAACATGGGGTTGAAAATAAAGTTGCTGATGATTAAAACCGTTCTCGTGCCCATAATACTGTATGCCTGCACTGCCTTGTGCCAGTACGCACAGACATACAGAAAGAAGATACAGTCGTTTATGAACGCGAGCGTAAGGGCCGCCGTAAACGCGCCGTACTACATTCCAAATAGATACATATATAGAGAACTACACCTGGACACGCAATATGTGGACGTGTATATGAGAGAACACGCAGAAAGCGTGTTCGATAGAATCAGATCGCACAACAATCCAGTGTTACGCGATCTACACGATGCGTTGAATATGGATGACTCCAGATTTCGAGAAATGGACAAACACCCAAGGCCGACAAAACAAAATCAACGACAACCCCCGCGAGTCGCCGTCAGGCGGCTCAGGTAAGCATAAACCAACCAGATAAACTCTCTTCCAGGTAGGTTCAACGCAGAACAATTCGAGCGCGATTCACTTTTTCTCAGATTCACTGAGGAATGCTCGACGCTTAAAACAATAGTCGCCGGTTAGCTTTTGGGGGCCCCCATGCAAAAATTCAGTTAGGAATAGTCATGACAAAATAATTTAACCGATCAGAAAGAATAGCACCTAAAGGCTGGCTTTCGACCAAAAGAGGTCAGATGTCAATCTTGCTGAAGTGCGCATCAGTAAGTTGAGGACCTCTTGGAGAGCGGGGGTGGATGGAGTGGGGTATTAAGTTCTCCTCGCTAACTAGCTGGGGGGGGAAGCTTCTACCACAGGGCACTCAACCCGGGAGGGGGCATGGGGGGAACAGGTATACTATTGGTGGTATGTCAATCACAGTTGTATTTTAGTTCATTTTTGGCAATTCAGTTACTTATTACTCGCTCATGCTTCTTTTCTGATTATGCCACAAATTGATTGGCATTTTGTGGTTCAGTTTGATCGATAAGATGTTTCCAATACAATCGAAGAGCTGATCAGGTAGGAGGATCTGCAATGCAGGCTTAGTCGAAATTCAATTCCACGTTATAGATTTTTAACAATGAGCATACAGTCTTCATCTAGAGAGAATTGACTGGACTTTGATCATCAAAACCGGATAGATGGAGTGATCACATGCAATTTGTGTGTCTACAAATATAATGTCCAGATTTACACGATACCATCAAAATAAATATGCAAAGTAATCAAGGCATAAAGTTTGAATATACGAAAAATTTTGTATTATCAATATGTAATTGGAGATTTTTGACGACACAATACATAACACAAGTTTAAAAAAATGTGAGTCGAATGATTCGAAAAAAACAGACAGAATTTGTTTGTCTTGACCAAGTCTCTTTAATTTTGTTAATTAATTTTCTGATTCTGTTACTGTAATACATTTTCTTTGCGAACCTGATGGTGGATTTATAGATTTATGGATTTATAGATTTGTTAAACAGATTATGTGAATCAACACAATCAATTTAATGAAAATTCCTTTTCTCAGTGTCATCACTGTTATCATTATTTGATATTCTCAACATAGTCAGAAAGTAATATTTTGAATATTTGGTGCAAGAATAGTTGATATGAAGAACATTTCTCACTATATTTCATACATCAAAGTCTCCCCGGTAGCTTTGCGAAGACGGGAAGCCTTCAATGTAAATACTACCTAATCTCTTTGAGATATAACAAAACAATTCACTATATTTTGTTCTTCCTTTATAGGTCTACAGAAAATTCGGCAGTGGTATATATCTATCTTTTAAGGTTACCTTACTATAGCCATTTCAATGTCCGAAAAAATGGTCACAAATAGTGTGGTAATTGGAAAGGTTTTCAAATGGATACAATATTATTTCTCATGAAATTATTACGTTACTTTCCTTAAACATTTCTTGCACATCACAATTACCCCTTATACCATACAATTTAATTCAATATCAGCTCACGACAAAATAAATTCAAGCAGCCTCACAAATCGATGCAACATGTGTGATGAAGAAATGTTGGAATGGCCTTGGTTTTGTTTTACGTAGTGAATCACTTTGGAGGTTAGGATCGCATTTTTGTTTTGGTAGCTAAGTACTTACTTATTTTGAAATTGAAAATTGTGAATTCACGTTTACATAAAAAATCATTAGTATCAGTTAGAAGCTGATGTGACACTTTGACAGAAAAAAATGCAGGCATATATGCTCTTGTAGTAAATGAAATCATGTCAAAATCGAACCGTCATACCTGTATAACTCTGCACCCGTACATCTGCAGTGCCAACGGTAACACGTGGCCTCTAACCTTCTGCGCCAAAGTGGTCTTCTGTTCTGGTGTGCCAAACTCAAAGAATTTCTGGATGACGTAGTTTCCAAACACGTCTGTCATGAGGTTGTAGGCTGCGGAAAGGATCTCGTTAAAGACCATCTGCTTCTCAGTGGCAGTCGCTCTTTCTAATTTCTGCTGGATGAATCTGGATCCGTGCTGGTCTTGAGAAAATTCCACAATGTGATTCGCGAGGTCCCTGTAACAACACCTATTAATCATTATGCATCTATGGCAAATAACATGCGGTTTTTATTTTTTCAACTACTTTTTGTAATGTAAAGGATTTTATAATTTTAGAACATATGAAAGAGAGTCTGAAAGTGCTTGGGGGTAGGTGTGGAATTTTTATTTGGGAAAGTCTCCAAAGGTTCCTTTTTATGATTTTCATAAATAACTTGAAAACTTTGGCATTCAGCAAAATATGAAAATGAAAAAAAGTTTAAAAAGTTCGATTTTGAGGTTACAAAACAAATTACAATAATGATTGAAATAGGTATACATCGTTCAGATAATGTTTTACATGCGACACACTGGAAGGATATTTGAAACATGCATAAAAGAACATAGAAAAAAATCAGCCTTCTATGATGCTTCACAATCAAAGGGTAAACACGACTTTACACAAACCATCAATACCATAGAAGGTGGTTTTATTTTCCACCATGTTGAATGGAAACTCTGCTCTACTAATCATCTCCTCACGAGCAGTATATGTTCAGAGATTATGGTGACAGGTGTGGGATGATATTTGATGGTCACAGTGACATAGAAAACACAAAACAAGCTGAGTAGAAGATGGATCACCAAAAGTTCCGTTGATATCAATTTCCACATAAATAAGATCATCACAATTTAGAAGGAACATTTTATCCTAAATAAAAGAAATGATGCACGGAATGCGGATGTCTCCATCGTAAGTGGTGTCATGAAGAAAGCACTAAAGCACTTCTACATTCGGACGTAGCTCCCCATAGGAAGGATATGGATTTGATAGTCCTTCTTGTTGCGTTGGTATCATCAGACTGCTCAAGTATCCTTTTTATGAAGCCACTAAATGATTTTCTGTTTGTAGCCTTCAACAGCTTCCCTTTGCGGATAAGATTCTGATTCTCCAGTTTTTCTGGATGTGACACTACCTCCGCAATTCATGGGAAAAGTTTTCTTCCAGAAATTCCTTCCAAATGCCTTATCGTCATCAAAGAAGATTCAAGAGGATTGAGAGAAACTATCCTTAAGCATTTTCCAGGTGCCTCGAGACACAACAGATCTCAACAAGATGAGATACAATGCCTTCTTGTGATCTTCGTTGAGGTCAATGTCCGACTTGGCAAGTCTTCTCCATACCAGAGGAGCCACAAAACAGCACTTCTTGAGATCATACTCAAGGAAGTCCTTAGTATATATAACCTTTAGCACTAAATATATAATAAAACGCCAGCGACTCAACATTTTGAATAGAAAATAAGGGTGATCTCGATACTTTATTATAGATACAACTGTGGCCGAGTAACCTCTTTTACCACACAATGAGGATGTGTCATGGGAAAAGACTAAGTGATATTATCCGTCACCACTAACGATCCTGTGGTACCAGAAGACATTCTCAACACAATATTCTCCCGCTGCATAACTAAGTGTGGTGTACCGTGTGGCTGCTAAAGAGCAAGCATCGCTTGCTGTGGAGCCTGTGTCTGTCTAGGAAGCTGCACCAATCTATTAACGACGACGAAGAAGATGACGATGGATAGTATACATTAAATCGACCTCCAAGCATTTCTATTCAATTATCTGTACCAATTTTGGTTTCTTTGCTATTTTTCCAGTGATAAACTGAAAATATTTTCATCATTTCTAATTGAAAAAAGACATATATATCCATCCCATCTTTTAAAGCCAACCAAATCTGTCTGTATAAATATAGTCAGTATTGTTACTCACGACATTAAAAAGTAATAAGGGTATTAGACTGTTCTAATGGGTGTCATAAAATGATGGAAGGAAACCCAATAAACCCATGATGCTGAAGTTCACAGAATCAGTCTCCAACAAAATCATGAACTGTTATCAAGTTGCAGGTGGATTTGGAAAACTGAAAGGTAATTTCGCTGACTCTATCAAGTTGTTGTTTTCGTTCTTTTTATTATATTTAAATGTTGATAAAACGTATCTGTCAATGTTTTTAAAGAGGAGAAGGATAATTTTTGAATTTATTGTGATCCACCTTTCATTATTTGATTATATTTCAACTTTCTTTTGCCAAATTTTTATTTAAATCAATAATATTTGGTATCTTCATCGGAGTTGATTGGACTGGATATTTTTGAGATTGATAGTCGGAATTGTGTTGATAGCAGGGAGTTCGAATCAATTCATTCAAATAATAACTAAGAATTTTGCAATCTATATCGAACCAACTCTTTCCATTTCGAAAACTCACCTTAACTGCAAGTTGGGATATCTGTTATTTCTGAAATCTTCCAACAACCTCGATCGTCCTTGAGGTCCTTTATCCAACGCGGTGGGTACCGTCGTCAAAGTTGAGTTAATCTTCGTGAACAGCGAATTTGTCGAGCCGAAAATCGCCGTGGGCGTACTCAGACCGGCCGCCACCGAGTTTCGGTACTTCGCTTCGGCTCCGGGAGCTGCCGACAACACTCGAGAGCTGACGAGACCGCCGAGCTGCAGCGGAATCGTAGGCGGAGGTGTCAGGCTGCCGGTGAGTGGACTCGGGCTGCTGCCGATGTTGTACGATGTCGGCCATTTCTGTCTGTACTCAAGAGAGGGCGAGAAGGCCGAAGTGTTGCGATCGAACGAGTCTCTGCGTGCTGTAGTGGTCGTATTCAAGCCCAAGCCTGCAAAATTATCTGCATAAAAAATTTTCATTGAGATTTTGAAAAGTTACTGGGATACTACAGATAACATTTTGAGGACGTGTCGAAACTATTTTCCGGGTTTGTTGGTCGCGGACTGTAGGTTTTTGTGGCTGACGTTTCATTACAGGTGCAGTAGTGTACTGTAGTAGTTTGTGATATGGAGACAATTGGAGCACTGCGTGCATGCCGTCACTGATATTTTACCGGCCAACAATCTCGGAAAATACTTTTGTCACAGTTATCCCTGGCCGCGAATGTTTCAAAGATATTTTACTTCAATGGTACGTTTTTAAGAATAATTAGGAAGTTCTCATCGTTACTAAAACAAGTTTACCAACACTATTCGTGAATTGAATAAAAAAATTAAGTAGAAAAAAAGGCGTATATTATACTGGGACATCGTAGCAATATTGTGAGGTATTACTTTTCTTTTCAGTTGTATCCTGTTAGTTTTTTACGTGATCATTTTGAATATTTTGAAATAGCCATTACAATTGTTGAGCAATTGTTTTTATATTTTGTATATGAAATTTAATTAAATATAAAAGTTGTTGAAGTTGCGAAAAAATTTCGGCCTTTACAAAAATGTTAGGATATTTGATGATGAAACTTTCAATTATACAGGGTAACAGAAATTATACGTTATCGTAAATATATCTTTATATTTTCCTTTTCTGTACAAATTACGGTTTATAAATGAAAAACTTGGGGAAGGCCAGCTCATTTAAGTTTGATAAATCAGTTCACCCCTGAACTTAAATCTAATTAGAAACATGCAGAGAATTCTAAGATGAAAGAAAAAATCAAAAACACTTTGTACAGTACCTGAAAAAATATTTCACACACAATGTTATTGTATATACATTCAGTTTTTACATATTTTCACAAGGATCATATCGATCCTCTACCTATACATACATTCTTAGAATTATATATCTAGCCTGTATAATAAAACTAGAAACTGCTTTTTTTTTAAATTTAATTGCAAGATAGTAAAAACACCAATAAAAACAGAAATAATCAGCTTTACACGCAAGTTCGGGAATAAAATTATTCATGAAAACGTATTACTTTTTTTATTGAAAGAGAAATTTGTTGCGTGTTACGGTATTCTTGTCGTGAATATCCGGCCACACCTATACGAAATGATAAATTCGGTTCTAAGAAAATAACTCATATTTTCATTTTGAACGTCTAGTAAAAAATACCAATACACTGAAAGCGGCGTGAATGTGGCAAGCAAAACAAGTCATTTAGGAGATAGGCAAGATACAGTACACAGGGCCGTCGCCATGGGGGGGAATTGGGGGAGCCCCCCTGCTTTTTCAACTTGTGAAAAAGTTGGTAAATTTTGGGCCGTGAAGATAAAAAAAAATAATAGTAAAAAATTGAATAAAAAGCAAAAAAAATAAAAATGAGAGAAAAGAAAGGGAAAGGTAATAAGAAAAGGGAAAGAACCAGAAGAAGGTTGGAATTTCCCAACATGGAGATCCCATACTTTGAAATTGTGAGTTGTTTGAAAACTTTAAGAAAGTTTAATCTCTCCCAAGTAAGAGAACAGTCCTCAACAGTCCACAAATTTTGAAGTGACAGTTTTACAAAATTCCCAACTTGTTGTTTTTTCGACTTGGAAAAGTTGGGAAATTTCGGGCCGTGAAGATAGAAAAAATAATAGTTGAAAACAATAAGCACAATATTACTTAGGTGATGTTTCCTTTCAATTGTATTGAATATTCCTATACTTGGTGGACATGGTGGAAGACCATGTATGTATGGTGGTCCAAAGTAGAATAACTCATTATTATTTATATAATTACCAAAAGTTATTTTTGTTTGTGCATACCCTAACAGGCATCAGCATTTAGGCAATCTATGGATAGCAAAGTCTAATAACTTTTATACATCTTTATTGTTTTCCTTTGAACAGAATTAGTTAACAGAAACTTTGAAAAAAAAAATAGTTTCAAGAATATGCCCGACATTACAATTTATCTTGTGAAAAAATTCATAAAGAATATGAGATAAAAAAACTTGTTTTATTTACTTGTGGGACAGGATAGCTAAAATTGAGCATTGAACCAAAAAAGATTGGCCGCTTAGACACGAATTATTACAAGGCAAGTTTAATGTAAAAAAATATGATAAAATTATAATAAAAGGTTGTCGCGATAATTTCAATTTGTAATTGAAATTTTGTAATTAGATAGGCACCTACTAAACTTGTAAGCAATTCCATAATGTTTGTAATTAAATAAAAGTGCCGTGAATGCTTAAAATGTGGAACTTTAACCTTGAATAATTTTTTTGCATACATAGGATTTATCGGGTTTGAAATTAATTGCAGTACCTAGTTGATTTGTCAGAATGTTTCTTTATTTAAATTTCATCTGACTGAATATGTAGAGATTCCTTCTAGGCATCGCGACAAGCTTTTATTATAATTTCAATTCTGTAAAGTCATAAATGAATGTGGTTAATGTGATTTAAAATTTTATTTTGATCTTTTTAGGACACTTAAATAAAAGCTCGATTTAAAGGTTTTTTCATCATTATTTTATTTTATATTTTTCAGTTTCAATCGATAGTTATTGATCAATACGAAAGTCCATCTATAAAACCGGAGAGTCCTTCAACAGAAAAACTTAAGGAACGGAGAAAACTATTATTAGGATAAACTATATTCTATAGAAGTAGGTAGGTATCTACTCCTCCGGCATACCTTATAGAAGACTTAGCTTGTTATATTTCTTAGTCTATTCATTTCATTGATGGCGTCATTATTACGTGGCCGTGTCCCAGTTAATTTCGAATAGTTTAATTTGTTTTACAATGCAAATATATATGGGTTTTTACATCCTACTACACCATTTATTGTCTTCTTTTTAGAGTTCGGAAGTAGGTATTAAAAGGTAAAAGCTTGATTTAATGTTTTTTCTAGAAATATATTTTTTTATTGAAGCCAACCCGGGATGTGGCATTTATTTCATGGTGGGTATACAAAATTTTTTGTCCCTGCTATTTACCGCTGAGGAGATATCTCGTACGGAGCTGATACTGGCAGCAGCATCAGGTCCCGTTTATGATTCACATGCATTGTCATCAGTACCGGACCAGCATGCAAAATTTCAGGTCAATCAGATACCGGGAAGAGGGTCAAATTAAACTTGCAAGATTTGATAACATACATACAAGTCAAGTATGATGGCTGACTACTGTTTTAATAAACCCCACTGTAGTACCTCAGTAACGTATAATATCACCTCCTTTACACATCAAACTACGATTGATAACAGTACGTAAAGGCTCTAAACAAAGAGGGGGAATGTTTTCAGTATATATCCAGATCGTTTCCAAAATTGGGTGCTGAGAAGTTAAAAGCTGGAATTTTCGATGGACCACAAATTAGAAAATTAATAAACGATGTAAGTTTTTCAACCTCTGAAAAAATTTCTGGAATGAGTTTGTTTGGCTCGTAAAAAACTTTTTGGGAAATAAGAAGTCTGTCCACTTTCCTGACCTGACATGGGCATTAAGATGCCCTTCCTTCATAGCCACCTTCATCGATTTTCTGAAAATCTTGGAGATTAACGCGATGAGCAGGGAGAACACTTCAATCAGGATATTGGTACCATGCAGGAGCGCTACCAGGGCTATTGGAGTGAAAGTATGATGGCTGACTACTGTTGGATTATCCAGAATAGTTGTAACAGTCCAAGTCATTCAAGAAAGTCACATAAAAGATAGTTTTGTTCTTATCAGATAGTTAAATAAATTGTTTATGACGGAAAATCATGTTTTTTTTATAAAAATAGCTACCCTTCGTATCTCAAAAAGTAGAGCTACTAGCAAAAATCTGAGTATACATTTAGAATCGGGGTAGAAAATGTAGCCAGATCCATAAAAACATTCCATGCAGTAAAAATGCTGTTGTGCAGTGGTCATCAGTCAGGAAGCTATTGTTTAGTGAAATACGTGTTGTGAACTGTTTAGTGAAAACATTACAATAAAGTGACACTTGAATATAATCTATAAACAAACTTGATCCAAATGAATTCTGTTCACGACTTTACCGACGAATCAACTTTCAGCAGCATTTTTTTACACTATTGATATTTTCTGAAAAACTATTTCATTCCATACTTCCTATCCTATATACACAAAAATGAAATCGGTGGGATGCCGGAATTGGTTGGATTGAAAGGACAGAGAACTGGGAAAGGCAGGCGGGGCCACACAATAATTACACATCGTTACAATTAGCAATGATTAGCTCCTACCTGTATGCAAAGAAGTGGTGGTGGCTGATGAACCGATATTTCCCAATGAAGAGCTACCGAATGCGGCAGATGGCGGTGCAGCGTGTAATGTTTGAAACAGTCCCGAACCCACACCTTGGGCCACACCTAACCCATACACCGAGTCACAGTTAGTACACACCAGGTTAATGGATCATGTGTGAAAATTATGGGGAAACGAGAATGATACAAGTGGCGATTGTAGCAATACTAAAGGAATGAAAAATTCCTAGTTATGATATAAGTGTATGATAATAATGAATTTATTAATTCCTTCCAGATCACAATGTGATCGTCAGTGGATGGACGGTGGATCGCATGGACAAAAGTAATATAGATTACAATTTTCAAAAAATAAAAATATTGCAATCATTACAAATATCACACATACAAGAGTTTCAAATTCTTTTGTTCGTTGACACTGTAAAAAATTGTTAAAAGTGTATATAGGCCCACTTTCAACATTGGGCATTTTTTTTCAATCTTTCGTAAGTCCTGTAAAAACTACTTAATACTTTCAAAAAACTCAAATGCTGTGTGAAAGCAGAAATTCAGAACAGAAAGGCAATGGGATTCCAAAACATCAATTAATAAAGTAAATAGAGGCCAGATGAAGTGCAAGATAAAATAGATGCACCGCAACACACAAAATATATAAAATATTTTCATATAAAGTGCTTGAATACCTTCTGCCCTGAAACCAACTTTGAACAATTGATTCATTCTTCACAAATATTTCATGGAAAAAAGGATTTGTGTGTGTATTTCATTATATGGGTTGAAAAATTTCGATTAGGAATTCTTTCAGTTTGTTTTGAAAATGCTTGCTGTTTTTACATTTCTCACATCAGCTGGAAGTTATAAAATTTAAACTATACGTAGGAGAAGCAGTTTTTCAACAATGTAGTCTTTGTTGATCTGCTGCAGCCACTTTGGTAGTAGGATATGGAAAATCTGAGTTTTGAAGATTTGTATCATATTTCTTTATGGGAATGAAAATATTTGTATGAATTTTTTATTACTGGAGTTTAATCGTCCTCTTGAAGATGATCACTTAGTGATCAAAACACGTGTTGAGATGTTAATAACGGTTTGGTGTTGGGATGAAACTCCAAAACTATTTATTACTACGCCAAAGGTTTCAAATAGTGCACCACGAATGAATCTTCATAGTCACAACTGAATATCAGAAAATATACGGCTTGGTAAAAGTTGAACATCTGAGATTCATTGATAATTGATTCCTACTAAGAAATTTGATTTCATCTGACGTTCTAATACCACCATTATTCAACTCAACCTGATATTTATAAATTTTTCTCAGGTTTTTGCAATGGAACCGTTTCAGAATGGTTTTATATAAATCAACAATTAAAGAGTTCCTGTGATACTAGAGTATCTGTAACTTACATGGTTTGGTATGAAATATATGAACAACAGAGCAATCAGTGGGACTGAAATAGCTCCTTGAGGAGCTCCTAAATCCGTGTTATATGCCAACGATTGCTTATCTTTTAGCTTTACATGTATTCTTCTAAGCCTTAAATATGATTTTATCTATAAACATATTAACAACCGGTTTATTGGCACGAGAGCGATAAAAAAGGAATTTTATATCAAATAAGTAATTGTATTTTTCAAAACCAAAACTCTATATTGAAATTCAAGTTCATTTACTGTGAAGGAAATCAATTTTCAATTTGGATTCGTAATTTTAGAACTCTCTGTATATCACGAGAACGATATTCGTGTTTTTATTGTGATTATTATAAATGAGATATATAAGTCTGGAAACACGAAATAACAAACACTGCTAAATAATTTACTTGACAGTTCGATGAAAGATTAAAGGTTATGTCAGGATATATGCGATCAATAAATATTTCAAGAACTGATTGTTCCATTAACAATACTATCCAGACAATGGAAAGCAATGAAGATGTATTAGATGTACGTCTGCACTTGGTCAATATGTTCAACGCTCGTTACTTTAACGTAATTGAAAACAAGTTATTACGATTGGAATAAGTGATTGCAATAAATGAGTAACATACTGCTGGTATATTCCCAGTTTGTATTTTTATTGCAACACAGGTTATAAATGAGAAAATGATTTCCAGAATTGATAGGTTGAATTAGAACTTCTCTGGTGAAATCAGAGTAATGAAATTGATATTTTCAGATACCAGAACTGTGACATTTTTTTGAGGAACTCAAATCATGGGGCATTGATGATCTTCAAATTTCGTGAAAAACTAGAAACGGAAGAGATTGACAAAGGCAAGAAAAAGACTGGTGAGTGTGACAGATCATCAAATTCCATATGAAGTAGGGCCTGTGGAGGTACCAAAATCTATAACACGAGACTAAATCAGAAAATGGGTCCATAATAACCAGAAATAGTATTAGAAAAATGGAAAACACACATGAAGACCTTTATGAAGAGAGACTCTATAAAAAAAAGTTCTGCTTCAATAAATCAGGAATTGTCTTAGAAAATTACAAGGCCATTCACTGGGTACTGTTTATTCAGAAGACAACTAGAAAAAAAAGTTGTATAATGGCGACCTTAGCTTATAATCCATGCAAGAGAGGAAGAACTGATCATGTTTTATGCGAATGTTTGGCACAGGATCACATGAGGCAAGCAATTCCAGAAGAATATGACAAACATCTAAAAAAAATACTTTTGCCAAACCGATACAGCGAAAATCAGGCTACCGTCCACACGATGTGACTCCATATGAAGATGACACCAAATGAATTCCAGCAGTCCGAATCTCTTCATATGTTGATCAAGACGTAGGTGACGGTCTAAGTAAGCCTGTTAGATAACGTAGGTCATTCCTAATGTAATAATCTAACGATTGCTTAAGAAACTTTGAGGAATTCTGATAGATTTCACTGTGAGCCTAAAACTCTTATTCAGCGTTTGTTTGGCAAAACCTCCGGCGATACTAATGATAGGTTTTGGTCCGATGAAAACGCTTGCAGCATCCTTCATCTGCAAGGCAATCAGCATCTACTTCAGACCACAGACAATTTCTCGGACAATTTGTTGAGTCGTCCTATTGAAGAGAATTTTTTTTTCGAAGTTTACTACCAAGGACATTGCTTGGTGAGAGACAAGTGCTTGAAAAGTTGCTTGACTGTCCAAGAATATTTGTATCGTTTTATGTATCTTCAATCTTCTAGGTCTGTATATACCTGCATAGGAACCTAAGGTATTTTGGTCCATCAGCTATCTGCTCTCAGTATTTTTTCCTCCCGAAGGATCAAATTCTCTATACTTGGGATTAGATTAAAGTTGACATTTGAGGGCACTATGTCGGTGCCAAAAAGTAGTCTACTACGCATAAATCTGTTGTGCACTACCCAGATAGTAACAAGCTGATGCTTGAAGATCAGTAATAATTTTCAAAACAGTTGAAAATACAAATGAGTATATTCATAGTTCTAGAAAGTAGATCAATTCGGAAAGATGATGTGTTTGTTATACACAACATGTTTCGTCAAATATTTTATCAAACCGTTCAAATTTTCTCTGAAATTACTAAAGGTCTACGTCCAAGGGATCAAAAAATTGAAAAAAATAAATATCGAAGATTATTAAAAGTGGAAATAATTTTCCTAGCTCAATTTGTAATGTCAACTACAAGATGATGATAAAATGGCAGAAAATGTACAAACAAAAATACATATTGAAAGGTAAATTCACCTCAATATGAACAGATGATAGGACATATTAGTAGATATATGGAAACAATGTAATCGTATATTCATAGATGCTAGAAAAACAATAGAGTAGTAGATGTTTTACTTTGTCTTTGAATTGATGATCATTCATTCAAGTACTTCCATTTTGTTTGGCAATTTGTCAAATGTTGAACTACTCAGCTCCTTTAGTCTGATAATTATGAACGTCATAGTGTATCTGTGAAAATATGTACTGGTATAACAAAGACGAAAATGGTAGATTATTTACTTTACCGTTTACTTTTCTGACAGTAAAAAAGACAAAATTGTGTGGTTTGTGAATGCTATAAATGTACAGGCAATCTCAGTTGGTCAACTTTTCTCCCATTTGAACAACTGCAACAAAAATCCTGATATTTCAAAAATAAATGAAAATTGCACTTTGGTTCAAGCGTTTTTTATCGCGTTTCAGCTTTAAATGAAGTCTGTTGAAAATAGACCAGTCAATGAGTTGACATCTTCAACAAATATCAACTTTGTGTTGTATATTTTTTATTGACAAACAGGAGAAATTTATGTCGCAACGTGACGGACGACATAACTCTTGTGAGTCAAAGAGGCAGTTACTGAAGAATGATATTTTTTATGTGTCGCATGAGCGAGTTTAGAGCGGAGGTTAAACACTCATATTTCAAAGACTCCAAAGAGAGATCAAAGCCAAACTGTTTGAAATAGCTGCAACAGAAAGAGGCCACATCCACCTTTATTCAACTTATTTGGATCCCAGTTAACTTTTTCATTTTCAAACTTGAATAAATGGTTCGCCAGGGAAAGCTTTTCGTCAAAGGAGATAACCGCACAAACAGAAGCTATTTTAAAAATCTAGCGAAATCCTACTGGTTCGAAACAGCCAGAAACGGAACTTCTTCATTGTTTTCAAGCACTTATAGAACGACCCTCGTATCTTGACATTTTCCCAAGTCCATTCTCATCTCCGTATTTACTAGTGGAAAATCTCATCTTCGTCAGTTGGAATATTAATTCAAATGTAACTACACGAACGAACGCCATAAATTTACTTGTAACTCGAACACAATGTTATATTCCAACAATGTAATCTTTGAACTCTATTCATTATTATTGAAATCAGTCGTCTTCGAGAAAATGGAAAACTGAATGGTGAATGGAATGTATAACAGAACGTGAATTTATAGCCAAAGTTTCCGACGAAAATTCAAATGAAGTTTTACGATGCAAATTGTTTGGTTTGCAGGCACATCTATATTCAAAAGCCACCAAGGTTATGAATTCGGCTCGATAAGAATAGATAATAGAGTTATTTGTTGTTCTAAACGAGTCGCGTTTGTTGAAACATTAACGAGCGACTCGAGATATACGTTTTCTACTGCTGAGGAAGGGTTATTCCATGTAGAAACTTGTATCATTCTCGTTTCGTGAAACAATATATAGCAAAGCGCATTTTATTATGAAAATGTACAATCATACAGATTATTTACAAAAAAAACAATAGGTGATTTCGAAGGTGTCTGTAGAAGTCGCAGATTAAAAAAATATTGCATTCAAAATATATTTGATCGCCTAGGAACTGAAGATTTGTATGAAGTCTTGTATGTCTGTTTTTTTCTCCTCGAATCATTTCAAAACAAATTAAATTGTATATATTTTCATCCTTTCATAGGAAGTATTCCTAATGTTTTATTTAATAACTAAGCTCTACTAAAAGTATATTGTTTTCAATTTATATTCTAATCACTGACGTAAATGATAAAGAAGCGAAATAAACGAATAAATATAAACAAAAAAATAATAAGATAAATCATACAGGGTTCTTCACTTTCAGGAAATGAAAGTCCTAACATTTAGAATTCAAAGTAATATATCTAGTTGAATTTAAACAAACTTTTGAAATTTATGATAGTATCACATAGATATTTCTTTCTCGAGTCTAAAAATCATATTATGGCAACAAGAAAAATTTACTATCGGATTCACTATAGTACGTTTTTGACCCTGTACATGATTCCGACAAGAAATCATTCTGTACAATTTCAAGTTTAAATGACTGAAATTCAGCTCTTCCAGCACTGTTCAAGGTTAAGTGAAACATACTTTTTTGCTAATCTATAGAAAATCTCACTCGAAGTGTACATTATACATTTTGAAATGCAATAAATACCCATGGTGTATTTAAAATATTATGAAGTTGACATTCAACTATTTTGTTTATGCGATAGCCTGAAGTGCATAATATTATACCATGAGTATGATTGTCCACACCATACTGCTCGGAAACATTTTTATTGCAGTTACACAAAAGCAAGATTAACCTCACAATTTAAAAATTGAAGCCTCGCTTCTTCATGAAATTGAAAAAGACAATACCTATACTGTATACTTTCATTTTCGTTAAACTGAACTACTTATAGTCCATTCGGTATTGTCCAAGAGTGAAAGAATTTCAGAAATGCGAACATGCCGGTACACCAAAGAAAGCAACATAGTCATCTCAAGCAAGTGGCATTGCAATTGATCCACAAAGTCACTGAGATATTTCTACCCGCTATGCCCTTTGAGGACGCCGCTAATGAGCCTTGTGATAGACGACGGTTTTTCTCATATTGCGTTAAAGATAATATAATGGGCGTCAGACTGGGGGTATTGATATACATTTTCCAATGATATATTTTGTATGATGCGAAGATAATTGAAATATCGTGAAAACTAATTTTGTTCAAATATTTTATTGTGAGAAGAACAATTTATATTTAAAATAGTTTTTTATTTAGGATTATTACCTTCTACAGGTCTATAAATTAGTTTTTGAAAACAAATCTAATTTGTCAGTTTCGTTAATTTATAAAATTTTGAATATAAAAATAAATATGTATCATCTGGTGACGTTATAAAGACTATCCATTTTCTTTATCTAATCTATTTGAATCAAAACATTATAATTTAAAATTATAATTCGTCTTTTGATTCAAATCAATTTGATATTATTATTATTGGTACTGATAACATCAAATTGATCGTAGCTTTGATAATGAAGAAGTCTTCGAAACGTCACCAGAAAAGTACCTATACAAATAGGTACTTTAGAAAATGGTTAGAAATTTCAACATCTGAATTTCGGGTTGAACCGCACACAAAGTTATGCATTGTTCGACGTTTCGGCTTCGTTGAAGCCATTTTCAAGAAGTAGAAATGTGGCTGTACTGAGACACGCTTCAGGGTTTTGCGACTTGACGCCGGGGCCTATTTATACCGCCCTCAAAAAAATGATGTTTTTTCAATCTCCTTCAACTAATTACTTTTGTTGTAGAATTTTTTGGTTACTACTGGACATAATTTCACATTTGTCGTATATAAATGATTAGTTACTTGTTTGTTATGAATGAGATTTTTCAAGAATAAATTTTATATATTCATTTATTCAATTCGTTGAGAGAATATTTCTGGACAGACTATAATTCATTTTCATATTTTTCCTAAACGAACATTAAGTTCAAATTTTTGCGAATTAAAGTTGTGACATTGTTCTAGGTAAAATTTTGAATGGTTGTATCTCAGGTTTCAATCAATTATAAATAAGTTAAAACATGCTTACAACCTGTATTTAACATAGCTTTTCTATTATAAAAAAACATAACCGTGAAATGTAATGAAGTAGCCGAATTTTGGACACTGATATACACAAAAAATAACGTATGAGTCACACATGATGAGCCAGTACTGTTCATGGCTGTTAACGAGATTGCATGCAGAATCGAAAAATTTGTAAGAGTCGCATACTACGGTTTTTATACAGAAGATAAAACTTGCAGAACTGCGAAGGGTACAATGAAATAAAACTGACACTTAAATCTAAGACTTTTGACGTAAAAATCTCGTCAAAAAACTTCATATACATCCCTAGACTGCACCTCTACAGACACCTTCGATATTCCATTCCAAATTTCTGTACTCTACAGAAAAACCTACCTCCTAGCGTGGTTCCATTCACCGACGTGTTGACGTTGGCGCCGTACAGGCTCTGCGGCGTACTGGAATAGAGAGAGGCTGCTGCCGCAGCCGCCTGTGTCTGCCTATTGGCCTGAGGCTGCACGAGAACAGGCGCGGGGCTAACGAGCCGCATCGGCGTACCATTACGCATGGCCGCGCCTTGGGCCATGAGGATCGGCGTGTTCTGGTCATAGTAGGGGACGATGTACCCGCCGGGCACTTGCGGCTGTAAGATTTAGTTATATTTACAGATGGATATTTACAAATATAAATACAGTCAGTTTAGTTTTATGTTCAAGAAAGAGAGGGTACGTTATTGGGAGTGAAACCAAAGTTTTGATAAATGAACGCGAAGAGTTACCATAAATTTTTTTTGAAAATTTGAATTGGATCTGCTCAAATATAACAAAACAAAATTATAATTACGATGACTGGTGGAAAAATGAAGGGAGCGGTGATCGCCTTTCTTGGTGTATGGTGTGGGGTCAGTACGGTACGGTCTGTCAGAAAGGACTGGCACTGTATTCATGATTTGTGGTATGAAAACTTGAAGCTCTTTTGATTCGTGCTTTCCTAACTGTACCTTAGGCCCAATTCACACAGAACGGACGTCTGGCAGAGACGAGGCGCGGATCTTTGACCCTTCCGCGTCTTTTCTATGCTAAGAAATGATCCAATGTTTACAGAAATCACGCGGCGCGGGTGGGGGGTCGCCCTCGCCCCGTCTCTTTGCTCGCCTCGCCACGTGTTTCTCCGTGTTCATCCTCATTGGATTTTAATGGTGCTGATTATTATAATAGGAGTGCCCAAGACCAGGCCTGGCAGAAAATTGCTGATAAAATGCTGAGAAAAATCTTCCTCTTGAAGATAATCACTTGGTGATCGAAACATGTGTCGAGGTGTTAAAATAACGGTTTGGTGTTGGGAAAAAACTCCAGTAATATTCATTCATTACTACATTGAACGTTCCAAACAGTGCATTACAAGTATTTCAGAGGTAGTTTAACTAGTCGTGTGTTTCTGGTTTAGTACAAATCGGTCTTAGACCGGGGTGACTATTGAAGCATATATTTTCCTCCTAGATAATTTATGTACAAATATATTTCTTTCACGGTATTATATTATTTTCCTGAATATTCATAAGCAATTCATTTGAACTGAAAATTATCACCGGAAAGAACAGGAGAGGATCAAGTTTTTGCTAAAATAGGTAAAAAGTGATGATATGAAGTGGAAGAAATGGTTTTTCATGAATTCGATGTTGAGAAATCGGGTCATATAGTTAATCTGGAAAGTGGTGAATCACAGAAAAAATTCGAGAGACAGAGATGAAGATGATTCTTCGGAAAGCATAGATGCATATTACTTCTCTAAAAATGATTAACAAGTGTAATCAGAGATTAGAAATGCATTCACTAGTATTGTTCTGGAAGTGGTAATGGAATAATTTGGTTCATTAAATACTTAATACTGTAATTTTATTGTATCTGAAAGTTCAAGGTCCAAAATTCGAAACAATACTCAATTTGATTTTTGTACATTTAGTTATAATAAAAATGAGCATTTCGATCTTATTTTGCGCCAATATATAACTAATTATATTAGCTCAAATTGTGATCAAACCGTAAAAAACTTCAGCAGTGAAAACTAAATTGATGACAGATCGATATTGAAAAATTTGGCACGACTACTGAAATGGTATTTTTTGTTCTTCTCTTCTTCAACTAAAAATTCACCCTCAAAATTTAAATAAAATTATCATTATAATGTCACCAATTTGAAAGCTAATTTCAATCAATAAATCCGTTTCAATGCTTAATTGTTCAACTAGTAAATATTTGCATAACAACTTTGCCAATTATTGATTAATTTTCAAATAAATACCTTGAAATACCTTGAAATACCAATTTCTTTCAATGGAATTCAATTACCCATAATCCCACGATTGTCACTTTACAAATATAGTACAGCATCTGGAAGCAGATGTTTTCATAATCGAAGAAAACAGGTATATCGATGAAATCGTACGGTGGGTATAAGAAAATAAATATTTCAAGTTGAGGTAACCGTAAATTTTATACATTTTTTATATGTTCGATAAACTTGAATAACAAATACACCCAGTTACGTAAATTACTATGTACACAGTTACGGTATTTGTAGTAATGGATAGAATAAATAAAATGTACGGAATATATACAATAGACGTAATCAGATGATTATTATGTTGAAATAACTGTATACAAAATCTTATTGGTTAGTTACACATGGTAGGAAAGCATTTTGAAATTTCTTTTTCGAGATTATGTTAGAAAGGGAATTTTCTTGTCACAAAGCCACCCGTCCTAGCGCAACAAAATTCTATATATCTATTGCCTGAAAAAATAAATTTTTGGCGCTGAATTTTCCATTTCACTTACGGACTTTTCACAATTTTTTATAACGGCTGACAACTCTGACAAAATCTTTCTTTGAGGTTTATATTTCCGGCAATTTTGTAAAATTATGAAGGTGTTTCTCAAGGACTTCTTTATAACTTGATTTATTGAAGGATAAATCATACTTTGTCTTTGGTTAAATCATCTTCAATTTACGACATGACAAAATTCCAACAAATCTACTAGTTTGCACTAGTTTTGTACAGTCCTTTTCTGGACGTTCTTCTGGATTTAGTTTGTCCATTAAATGCTACAACATGTAAAAAACTTTGTTCTTTATATTTATTATCGAGTTATTTTCCGATATGGTTACGATATGTAATCACACAACAAATTCAGTGCCTAATGCTACACACTCATTCACTGTTTAGTGATTTTTTTTTGGCGCTCAATATATAGTCAACCTGTCCCTGTACGGTAGTTCTATTAGCTCATGTCATGCCATGCAGACCAATGCCGGAGTACGGTGGACGTTTGTCAGAATATGTATCCGCTCTTCTGGTGGTGTTTCTGAAAATTGCAGAATCGCCTACATTTCTGCCAAGAGCGGGTAGCTGTAATGCAGATTTATATCAGCACACACACTATCTTATTGACGATAACTCCGGACAATCGCATAGGGCATGCCTAACAGTTTCATCTTCCTGTTCACACATCCTGTATAGAGGTTTGTCCACTAGCCCTATATTGTGGAGGTGTTTCCTTAGGCGACAGTGGCCAGTCAGAAATCCTACTGTTAAGCGTAGATTTTTCCTGATTATCGCCAAATATTTCTTCGGCGCCAGTTTTCCAGGGTCGCCCAGGATGATCCTGCCAAGATTGAATCCTTTGATTTCATCCCATCTCTTTAGGGATTGAGCATAGGAGTGACGTTTGGCTAGTTCCGCCAATTGTCAAAGTCATCAACAGATGAAGGTACTTTCTCGCGAGCATATTTGGGTGTATCTTTTTTTGTCCCGAGATAACTTCGCAACGGATTTTTTTTCAAGATTCTCATTTATTTTTTTACTACAATAATGAAATAAATTGTGAAAAATCCATGCTTGATGGTAGAAACATGCTAGATTTCCTTGCTAAGTTTGCTTAGTTTGTGTTATAAAGTTATGAAAGAGTTGAGTCAAAATTGCGATATGGAAAAGTTGAAACGTTTGAAGAAAAATAATACCAAAATAGTATGAAAAATTCAAAGATATTGGGAAAATGTCCCAGAGTATTTCCTTTTGCGAATTTATATTTCGTCCAAAAGAAAAAACATCTCACCAAAGACTCAAAACCACTCAACACCACCTTACCTGCACTTGTTGCTGCGCCTCTGCTGTCCCGTTGGGGGTGAGAGGCCTCCTGGCTCCGTTACTAGCCCCCTGCTGGATGAGATTTGCCGGAGGGGCAGGGTACACCCAAGGCCCCACTCCGTAGTACTGCGGAACTCCTGCTGTGATCAAATAAGGTTCCTGCTGCGGGTTGACCAAGTACGGAGGCTGTGGAAAAGCAGCGGCGGCTTGCTGCTGCTGCGCCAGATACTGCTGCTGTTGCTGCTGCAGCAGTTGGAGCTGAGCTGCTCCTGGAGTGGTCGCCTGCGACTGTTGAGATCGGAAAAGTTGCTGCAACAAAAAACTGAAGTTAGTATAGAATAGAGATGTAGTGGCTTAACTTTATCAACTGAGGAGTAGCTACTTCATTACTAGATTTGGAGATGAAATGTTCTGCTAAACATAAACAGATCGCATTACCGTGCCATGAATTTCTTACTTGGAGTGGTAAGGTCTTAGTTTTTGAAATGTGATTCCTAGCGCGAATGTTTTCTCATAAAATATTGTCAGGAAGACCATGTGAAATATTTCAAAGTTCAAATGAGGGTAATTATTTGCATACTTTTGTTCAAAAAACATCTTCCAAATGGCAAATGAAATAGAATAAAATCCACTCCAAATTTAAATGTATTCAAAACTGGTCACTTCGTAACACGCCGTGCTACTTCATAGATGCTTTTAACGTCACTGAATTCTGACATATGTTTGTGGCGCGTGAAGTCGTTCAGTTGAATTTTTATTAATTCTATGGAAAAATATTCGGCATACGTGATAACTCAGTATGAAAAGTTATTTTTCGCTCACAAAAATATCGGTATGTTACCTATTCTTGATTTTGTATGATTTGGCTTTCGAGGGCAACCTAATCTCAATATGTCACACACAGTCACACGCAGTATCATTGAAAAAATGTATAATGACCTAATTAGTGATCTTTATTTTTTAATTTCCGCTAGAGCAATTTACTTTGCTATTTTATTCAAAAAGAGGAGATCAAACGTTGGTTTTTGTTTTTGTCCGTGCTTTGCGAAAGCGATGATTAATATAACGCTGTTTTGGGAGCCCTTAGAAGGTTTAATAAATTTCATCAACTCGGGGATTTCTTTTGTGATTGCTTATTGAAATTTCTTAATCGTTTTTCGAATTCCATGGAAATTTCCACCAGGAGCAGATTAAATCAGACTAAATTATTCATGAAAGGAAAAATGAATGTTTTGGTATTCGTTATAGTTATATTAATTATTTATTGATTGAGTCAATTGTTCAATTGTAGGGAATATACATTCTGATTTTCAAGAATGGGGTAAATTTGTTAACTTGTCAGTGATTTTGTGCGAATAACAGAATTTTGAAAAATATTTTGATTCCAAAATTTACTCTTTATGCCGATGATACAACCATTTTTTGGTAGGTTCAATAGGAATATACTGATTTTTATCGGCGATAAAATCAATATATTGATGTCTTATGTAATTGCTTTCTCTTTATATCTTCTTTAGCAGAAAACGGGTAAAGACCAAAATTTTACAACCAAATAATACAGCAATGCAGAAGAATGTGTTTGAAAATCTAGAATCACTTTTTACGAGAACACTCATTACTTATTTGATCACCGAAAAAAGCTATATTAGAAACATAATAGAAACTTTCAGAAACCAGGTTATGTATTTTGTTGAACTGTAACACGATTTTTTGTTCTGTTTTTTATAATGTCTGTAACCGAAATTTTGTTCCGCTTGCTAATGATACATTTAGAACATATTCTGAAATAGTATATAACATGAAGAAAAATTATACAGAGAGTAGATATTTTTTTTCGCTGGAGTCAGAACAATAACGCTAACGTCACGAGCAAAAAATCGATTGGGAAGAACTCGTTTTGCTATAGTTTTCACTTGGCTTCAACTGTGGAGCGATTAATGTACAGTTTGAACTGTGATTTAGATACGAAGAAGTTGAAAATTGAAAAATGTATCGTTTTCTACTGACGGCGCCATTGGCAAAATTAATATCATATTGACGCTTCAATGTATCAATGTTTTATCTAAATTATTCAGTACGTTCATAAGGAAATGATTTTAATTAAACATTAAGTAACCACGATCCTTCAAACTATTGTTTTCCTTTCCTTGTGCAACTGTTACAAGAGATGACTACAATAATCCTTAATATTATTAATATACTTGAGGCGTAAACTAGACCTTACTCGAACAATTGCTACATTGTTCGCGCTCCACACGTACAAAAACTGTTCTTTACAATTCCCGGCTTTTTCTTGCAACATATAAATTGTCGTTCATTCAATTCGAAATACAGTTAGACGCTCTCCTTTCACGAGTCATACGAAACGAACAATAATGATAATTCCGACCGCAGAAAAAATCATAATTTACTCCTCGGGTGATCGATTTTCGAGAAACCGTTAAAGAACGATTCTTTTGTTTTAGTTCTAGTTACGGCGTCACTCGATTAGCCCGACTTGCAATCTATGCACAATTTAGGACTGAAAGTCATTGACTCGACGAGGAAGCTTCAACAACGCGGCCATGGTACCGTTACTGGTTAATGTTTATTCTACGAGACGGGCATTTTTTTCTTTTCCGATAAGGTCGCCAGAATGTGTGTCGACGGTTGTGCTGTAAAAGGAAGACTAAGAAACCACTGTTGAAAAAGGATCGACACGATGCCTCAAGAGTATCTTAATTGGGCAAAAATATGAGATATCAGGGTTATCAGTTCGCAAACACGCGTAACAGGTTTCGTATGGTGCTTGTCAGGCTTGTTGGAAACAACAACAAACCGCTTGAAAATTGCCTTTTGTTCAACAATTGATTTGAAATAGATAATTAATTCGGTTGAGATTCATGAAAAGTTGATATATAAACATGTCATTTTCTTAGAGAACATGCTTTTTTCTATGCTAGAATGGGAGAAAATTCTCAATTTAGTTGGTATCCCTGATTTGTTCCATCAATTATCTCCTGATTTCTCTCACACTATTGTTCGAGCTACTAAGAGGGTTTTACCAAATTAAGCTCCAATGACAAAATATTATTGCAAAACTTTCCACTCTGAAACGGTTCTCACAAGTCTAGGAAGAGAAAAAAAAATAATTAACGATACCCCGCAAAAAAGTTGGACCTAGAACTGACTCGAATTTAAAAATGTAATTCCAAATCCATAAAATGTAATTCGAAATCCATAAAATGAAATATTCTACAACAGAATATTCCACGTCTCAGACGATTGAAAGCCTTACACGGGAGCAGATTTCTCATTTCAATTTAGACCGTCATAAACCAACAAATTTGTCAAAATATTTTCTTTGAAGTAGTTACTAGTTATTTATTATCCATGAATATATGTTTTGATCTAATGTTCTATCCATAAATTAACTATTCCTAAAACCAAGATTGAACTACATAAATTTACATAAAAAATGAATTGAACTCGATCAACTAAAAAAAAAACAACTGATCAAAATTGCCACCCTATAAACTCCCCACCCCCAGAAAAAAGTAAAAAAAACAAAAAAACACACAAGAAAAACAAATTTCAATAACATAGCGGGTATTTTCAGAACCTTCCACATAATTACTTTACTTAAGCTATTGTTCTTATCATTCTGTACTATTTTATTGGTCATTTTATCACATACAAAATATATTTTGCGTTCAACCGTCAATAACCATTGTCGTTGAACTACTCTGTAAATATTAGCCTGTTCGTAAGCACTGTTTGATAATTCAGACTCTTTAAAATAATTTCTAAAGTCGTAATTTCCAAGAAACAAATAATAAAAATATGTGGCCCTTCTGCGCTTCCGTAGAAAACCTTCCCTAACTAAACTTAAAAAATCAACACAACCAAAAAGAACAAACCAAACTCAACATTGACGAATAGAATTGAGATCTAATTTATTACCTGACGTATATTAATTTAGTGTTATGCAATTTCAAAAAGAAAACAGATCATCAAAGGAATCGATTTCTTCAATGGTTTAGTAATTTGGACATTTCTTCAAAACAAAATAACAGAATTACAACCTAATAATATGAAATCAACAAGGTTTAAACTACGATAACAACTGAGAATTCAACTGGAATTTGTTAAAGAATTTGTAATGAATTGATAATATCAAAGTGAAATTAGCACAAAAATGAAATGCAGCTCATAAGAAGAAACAAGAGTTAACGAACACCAAATGAATTTGTAACTTACTGTTACTCAATGAAATTTCAGATTTGTGATTTGACAATTTGTGTTATCGCTAACACAAAAAATTCGTTTTTTTTTTTGAACAAAGCATCATATATCAAGAGATTATGTGATGCTCTTTTTCATCACCCTGTCGTTGTTTTTTGTATTGCAACTAATTCTAAACTGCCTAACTGAATCAGTTCGCTCACTAATCGACTCAAGTTTGTCTTGATGATTTTATTACAGTAACTTTCAACTGACAGCTCGCAATTTATTACCTTCTGCATACTTTTCGACAGACTCTGTAGATCTGTTCTCAGCTTTCATGCAGCCTCTCAGCATGCGCCAGCTGAACACACGGAAATGGCATACATCTTGCATAACTGTTGTCCCAGTGAACTTGAGAATGTGGCCATTATCGCCCAGTCAAGTGGATAAAAATTTGGTTCGACCGGTTTTTTTCTCATAGTAATGATGGTGTTATGTAAAAATAAACGACTCAAATGAGTATTTGCTATACCGTTATACATGCAACTTGATTTCTTCTCTTTCAAAGTACATGTCGATTGGATTAGATGTCGCCAGTGTTCTAGTTCAGTACAAAATAAAAGTTTTGGTTGAAAAATACTGAAATTTGAATCAAGTTCTTTTATTTGAAAAAACCGAGAACTTTGGTATTTTTTGCAATTCTCAATATACGTTAAATTTATAGTATAAATCTAGTTATTAAAGGAACACTGTAAGAGTAAATTTCAACTCTTATCTTTCGCTAGCAAGTCTTTTGATGATATCGTTTTCGTTTGGAACTTGGAAGGTAAGTGCATATAAATACTGAATATAACAACCATGATTAGTCATTAACTTTGAAAGTTTTCAAGATAATGTTGACTCATCATTATTATTTTTATAGACCGAAAAAATCGCAGAACAATAAAGAATAATGACGATATTGATAATTTGCATTTTAATTGTGGTCTTATCAGTATCTGATACAGTAAACAATGGTATTCAATGTACTTCGAACAAGTTTTGAAACTTTATCGAAAGTAATACCACAAAACTTCAAAATTTTATGGATCGATTTTCATTTT